AACAATAATCACATAATATATAGACATATATAAAAATTATTTTAATATAGGCATATATTTTATATCTAGAGATAGATGTTTCCTTTTCCCTATATAATACATCTAAGTGTTGAATCATTGTGTTAACAACAAAATCTCCAAAGAAGAGATGGTCTCTGATTAATGTTAGTTATATCAACAACAGAAATATTTTTTTATTCTTAATCCAAAGCTTATATCATGTACACATTTTATAACACCACTATATTATTATTACATGCACACACACACAGACATATATATATATATATATATATATATATATATATATATATATATATAGTGTATTTAGGCAGCAATCCTTCTTTTATGCAAGCTTCATTAAATATAATAGACAGGGTGCTTTGATTAAGTTTTTATATAATTTCTCATGTGATCTTATAATTTTTTTTCTTTTCTGTAAATAAATTATATAAAAACTGTCCAACTGTTGTTTTTTTCTGAGTGCAACACTGAATAATATCAACTATGAACATGGACACAATATCTTGACCATGTTTTGAAAAGGAAAACATTATATAAATACATACTTACAACAATCTATTTCTTGTTAACAGTTAATATATTTCAACCTTGAAAATGGCTAAATGTATAGCTGAAAGTGTTCAGAAAAAAAACAATAATTAGACAGTTTTTATATCTACCAAAAAGAAAAAAATTGTAAGATCACATGAGAAATTGTATAAAAAGACTTAATCAAAGCACATTTGTTTGTCATATTCAGTGAAACTTGCATATATATATATATATATATATATATATATGAAAAATGTGTGTATATAAATATAAATAAATATAATTATTTATATATTATATGCGCGGTACTTATTAGAAAGCACTCAATATCAGAGATAGAGCTAACATATTTGGTTGGATTGATGTGAGTTTGTGACCCTGGGTTTCACGCTTTTGTGATTGTCAGACAAACTGATTAATTTTTTAAACCACCAACAATCACAATTCAATTCAAGCTACCATCACAATAATTACATTTATTGTTATCGTTATTATCATTGCACCATCATTAGTAATCACTTCTACCACTTTAAAATAACTATTAACTACTAATATTATCATTACCACCAACACCCAACATCATTACTACCACATCACATCTACTATTAACATATAAATCCACTATAATTATTAACATAAATTACTCCCCCCCAGCATATTTAATACCACCAAATAAAAACCAATAAGATCAGAGATAATTTCCAAATGCAGGCATGAGAATAAATACCTATTACCAGGATTTATACCAAAATAAATAAATAAATAAATATAGAAAATAAAATTAAACACCAACAATCACTCTTTAGTTCAAGCTAGCACCACAATAATTACATTTATAGTTTTTTTTTATTATTCTCCCACCACCATTACTAATCACTACTACCAATTTGCAAGAACTATTAGCCACTTATATTATCATTGTCACCAACCCCCTTACACATTACTATCACATCACATCTACTATTATCATACAAACCCGTCATAATTATTAACATAAACTACCCCCTCCCCCAGCATATTTAATGCCATCATAAAAATAACCAATAGGGATTACAAACCGAAATTTCTACCAGTTGCATATACACAGTCATCAAAAACAAGCAAATAACCAGCTTTAAAATAATAACAAATAAACCCTTTTTTTTTAAATTAAAAATAAAAATAATAATAATTTTTACCTATCATAATTTTACACAGACCCCACCACATGTATATACATACATGTGAGGAAATTTTATTCAGTGAAAAAAAAAGATAAATGCTCTGATTTTTGGCATGTATACATTCACGAGACATTCATGAGAAATTTTCGCTACACTTCCAATCTTTGAATTTCAACATACAAATGCATATGTATAGACACAAGACCACCCATATACATACATATGTCATATCCAAAACTGTCCACATGTCTATATATGTATGAGTCCCGACAGACAAGCAAGTATGGATGTTTGTCTGCGTATCTCATCTGATGTACGGACATGCATCTATGTTTGCATTAGCACGATGACATCACGACGACGATTCCCCCCACTCCCATAATAACACCTATACACACAATCTACATAAACCCAAATTTTAAAAAATTAATCAGTTTGTCTGATGATCGCAAAAGCGTGAAACCCAGGGTCACAAACTCACATCAATCCAACCATATATATATATATATATATATATATATGTGTGTGTGTGTGTGTGTCATGAAACGTTTTTTTAAGGTAGGTTATATTTGTGGCAGAAATGTATTTGATATCAGGAACAGAACATATATGTAAATATATTTACACTGCCTATATCTATATGTATACAGATAGACATTATCAATACTACTCAGTAATATCTTTTGTCATATAAAAAATATTATGCAAGTTGGCATGGAAAGTGGAATCAGCAAGCTGAGTTCAAGTTCCAATCCAGCCTGTTACATTTATTTCGAGCTAATGCCTTTATAAATTAGCAAAATTCATTTCTTCTTACCCCCCCCCCAGCTATGGATTATATAGGAAGGTAGATTGGGCTCTCTTGATTTTGGTCGCAGCCAATCTAAAAGGTCAACTCAGAATTCCTAAACAATGCTGAAGGCAATGTGAAATCACTTCATTCTCCCAAAACGTCATGACAAATCAGAGATGATAAAGAAAAAGAATATGTGGAGAGACATGACTGCCTATGTTCTGAAGTGACATGGTATTCAAATAATTGTCATAATAGTTGATAAAGTATTGAGATTTTGGCAATTTTAAACTGGGTCTCAAAAACTGGGTCAGAAAAGCTGCTAACAGAATTTTGAAAAGTAGAAGGAAATTTGCAGACTCTAAATATCCATAATGTTCAATTTCCAGCTGATTCTCTTTTGTTCATTTCATCTGAATGCCCTTGGAAAAGGCACAACTCCATCTTCCTCTCGCTATGAGTTAAATAGCAGGACAAAGTGAGCTCTTTTGTCTAAAGAGGGTAAATTATCTAGGTGAAGGAAAACTCTGAATTCAAAACAAACCTGAAGAGGGATCGGCTCAGTCAGGCTTTTTTACCCTAGACACACCACTGTTGCAGTACATGTGGTGCCCCTACCACCCTAATGAATTACAGGACTTGTGACATAATATGACTATATATGCTACTGGGGGTTAAGGAAAGTGTGGAAGAAAAAAAAAGCTCTTAGTCTGACGAAGTAAGTATTAAAAAAGAATAGTGCCTGTACTACTCAAAATTAGTTTAAACCTTTTCAGAGTGATAATTTGTCCCTTGGAAGAAAACCCAGCTGTGGATGACTGTCAATTGTTGATTACAATGCTTTCATGTGCAAGACAGTTGGGAATTCAAACATCAAAACTTGATAACTTTCAGAAGAGCTTAGACAAAGAGAATGAAATATGCTTCCAAAAGCATACAGGGGGCTCTTGAGGGTTCCCTATTGATTAAAAATGAAAATACTATTAATACTCTTTAATAGATATGAAAAAGAGATAGATAGATAGATAGATAGATACAAAATGAATTAAATAAAGAGATTCAGAAACAAACAGATTGAGACAGATAAATAGATAGATAGATAGACATAAACTTAATGATAGATATGAATGAAATAGAAGAAAATATAAGAACAGATAGAGAAAGATAGATATATAAAGATCAGGATAGATAAAGAGATATGAACTGAAAAAGATAGATAGATAGATAGATAGATAGATAGATAGATAGATAGATAGATAGATACAAAATGAATTAAATAAAGAGATTCAGAAACAAACAGATTGAGACAGATAAATAGATAGATAGATAGACATAAACTTAATGATAGATATGAATGAAAATAGAAGAAAATATAAGAACAGATAGAGAAAGATAGATATATAAAGATCAGGATAGATAAAGAGATATGAATGAAAAAATAGATAGATAGATAGATAGATAGATAGATAGATAGATAGATAGATAGATAGATAGATAGATAGATATAAAAATGAATTAAATAAAGAGATTCAGAAACAAACAGAGAGACAGATAAATAGATAGATAGATAGACATAAACTTAATGATAGATAGAATGAAATAGAAGAAAATATAAGAACAGATAGAGAAAGATAGATATACAGATAAATGAACTGAAAAAGATAATAGATAGATAGATAGATAGATAGATAGATAGATAGATAGATAGATAGATACAAAAGAATTAAATAGATAGAAACAAACAGATTGAGACAGATAAATAGATAGATAGATAGACATAAACTTAATGATAGATAGAATGAAATAGAAATAAGAACAGATAGAGAAAGATAGATATATAAAGATCAGGATAGATAAAGAGATATGAACTGAAAAAAGATAGATAGATAGATAGATAGATAGATAGATAGATAGATAGATAGATAGATAGATAGACAAAATAGATAGATAGATAGATAAACTTAATGATAGATATGAATGAAATAGAAGAAAATATAAGAACAGATAAGAAAGATAGATATATAAAGATCAGGATAGATAAAGAGATATGAACTGAAAAAGATAGATAGATAGATAGATAGATAGATAGATAGATAGATAGATAGATAGATAGATAGATAAAATGAATTAAATAAAGAGATTCAGAAACAAACAATTGAGACAGATAAATAGATAGATAGATAGACATAAACTTAATGATAGATATGAAGAAATAGAAGAAAATATAAGAACAGATAGAGAAAGATAGATATATAAAGATCAGGATAGATAAGAGATATGAACTGAAAAAAGATAGATAGATAGATAGATAGATAGATAGATAGATAGATAGATAGATAGATAGATACAAAATGAATTAAATAAAGAGATTCAGAAACAAACAGATTGAGACAGATAAATAGATAGATAGATAGACATAAAACTTAATGATAGATAGAATGAAAAGAAGAAAATATAAGAACAGATAGAGAAAGATAGATATATAAAGATCAGGATAGATAAAGAGATATGAACTGAAAAGATAGATAAAAGATAGAAGATAGATAGATAGAGATAGATAGATAGATAGATAGATAGATAAAAAATGAATTAAATAAAGAAAGAAAGAAAACAGATTGAGACAGATAAATAGATAGATAGATAGAAAAACTTAATGATAGATGAATGAAAAGAAGAAAATATAAGAACAGATAGAGAAAGATAGATATATAGATCAGATAGATAAAGAGATATGAACTGAAAAAGATAGATAGATAGATAGATAGATAGATAGATAGATAGATACAAAATGAATTAAATAAAGAGATTCAGAAACAAACAGAAACAGATAAATAGATAGATAGATAGATAAACTTAAATAGATATGAATGAAATAGAAGAAAATATAAGAACAGATAGAAAAGATAGATATATAAAGATCAGGATAGATAAAGAGATATGAACTGAAAAAAGATAGATAGATAGATAGATAGATAGATAGATAGAGATAGAAAGATAGATAGATACAAAATGAATTAAAAACAAAAGATGAGACAGATAAATAGATAGATAGATAGACATAAACTTAATGATAGATGAATGAAATAGAAGAAAATATAAGAACAGATAGAGAAAGATAGATATATAAAGATCAGGATAGATAAAGAGATATGAACTGAAAAATAGAATTAAATAGATAGAGATACAAAATGAATTAAATAAAGAGATTCAGAAACAAACAGATTGAGAGACAGACATAAAAATGATAGATGAAAGAAATAGAAGAAAACATAAACAGATAGAAAGATAGATATATAAAGATAGATAGATAAAGAGATATGAATGAAAAATAGATAGATAGAAAATAGATAGATAGATAGAGAAGATAGATAGATAGATAGATAGATAGACAAAAGAATTAAATAAAGAGAGAAACAAAAGATAGATAAATAGATAGATAGATAGACATAAACTTAATGATAGATATGAAGATATGAACTAGAGAAAAAGATATATAAAGATAGATAGATAAAGAGATATGAATGAAAAGATAGATAGATAGATAGATAGATAGATAGATAGATAGATAGATAGATAGATAGATACAAAATGAATTAAATAAAGAGATTCAGAAACAAACAGATTGAGACAGATAAATAGATAGATAGATAGACATAAACTTAATGATAGAATGAATGAAATAGAAGAAAATATAAGAACAGATAGAGAAAGATAGATCAGGATAGATAAAGAGATATGAACTGAAAAAGATAGATAGATAGATAGATAGATAGATAGATAGATAAAAATGAATTAAATAAAGAGATTCAGAAACAAACAGATTGAGACAGATAAAAGATAGATAGATAGACATAAACTTAATGATAGATATGAATGAAATAGAAGAAAATATAAGAACAGATAGAGAAAGATAGATATATAAAGATCAGGATAGATAAAGAGATATGAACTGAAAAGATAGATAGATAGATAGATAAAGATAGATAGATAGATAGATATGAATTAAATAAAGAGATTCAGAAACAAACAGATTGAGACAGATAAATAGATAGATAGATAGATATGAAATAAATAGATAAGAACAGATAGAGAAAGATAGATATATAAAATCAGGAAGATAAAGAGAGATATGAACAAAAAGATAGATAGATAGATAGATAGATAGATAGATAGATAGATAGATAGATACAAAATGAATTAAATAAAGAGATTCAGAAACAAACAGATTGAGACAGATAAATAGATAGATAGATAGACATAAACTTAATGATAGATATGAATGAAATAGAAGAAAATATAAGAACAGATAGAGAAAGATAGATATATAAAGATCAGGATAGATAAAGAGATATGAACTGAAAAAGATAGATAGATAGATAGATAGATAGATAGATACAAAATGAATTAAATAAAGAGATTCAGAAACAAACAGATTGAGACAGATAAATAGATAGATAGATAGACATAAACTTAATGATAGATATGAATGAAATAGAAGAAAATATAAGAACAGATAGATAAAGATCAGGATAGATAGATATGAACTGAAAAAAGATAGATAGATAGATAGATAGATAGATAGATACAAAATGAATTAAATAAAGAGATTCAGAAACAAACAGATTGAGACAGATAAATAGATAGATAGATAGACATAAACTTAATGATAGATATGAATGAAATAGAAGAAAATATAAGAACAGATAGAGAAAGATAGATATATAAAGATCAGGATAGATAAAGAGATATGAACTGAAAAAGATAGATAGATAGATAGATAGATAGATAGATAGATAGATAGATAGATAGATAGATAGATACAAAAATGAATTAAATAAAGAGATTCAGAAACAAACAGATTGAGACAGATAGATAGATAGATAGATAGACATAAACTTAATGATGAATGAAATAGAAGAAAATATAAGAACAGATAGAGAAAGATAGATATATAAAGATCAGGATAGATAAAGAGATATGAACTGAAAAAGATAGATAGATAGATAGATAGATAGATAGATAGATAGATACAAAATGAATTAAATAAAGAGATTCAGAAACAAACAGATTGAGACAGATAAATAGATAGATAGATAGACATAAACTTAATGATAGATATGAATGAAATGATAAGAAAAAGATAGATATTTCAGGATAGATAAAGAGATATGAACTGAAAAAGATAGATAGATAGATAGATAGATAGAAGATAGATAGATAAAATAAACAAAATGAATTAAATAAAAGAACCTAGAAACAAACAGATTGGAGACAGATAGATAGATAGATAGATAGATAGATAGATAGATAGATAGATAGACATAAACTTAATGATAGATATGAATGAAATAGAAGAAAATATAAGAACAGATAGAGAAAATAGAGAATAAAGGAAGAAAAGATATGAACTGAAAACCTAGAGATAGATAGATAGATAGAAGATAGATAGATAGAGGAATGAAAATGATAGAAGAGATAGAGAAAGAGAAAGAAATGAACCTACCGAGAGAGAAAGGCATGAAATGACATCAGTATAATTAATCTGAAAATTACCTTACCTAAATTAAAATGCTGCTATCTCCATAGTCAGCCTTGACAGGAGCCAATATGATAAGAATAAAATATTTACTAGGAAATTTATATTTATACAAAGGCATTTTGGAAAATAAACTAAGAGTAAAGAAACTGTCCAAAATAAAAATGTTTGAGAAAAGTCAGGACTGAAAATGAATGGAATAAAAAAAAAATTTTTTTTGAAAAGGTTGAAGAATTGCCAAGAAACACATCCAATTGAACTCTCAAGATTTAGATAAAATAAATTAAGGAAAAAAACAAAAAAAAAATTTTAAATCAAATCTTTTTTTTTTTACCAGATCTTTTGACAAAATGACTGCTATGTAATCAGCCACCTTCTTCTTTTAGGGAATTAGATTAAATAATCAATGTTTGATATGGTCATTCATGAACACTAACAATAGAAGAAGAAAATGGTGAAGGAAATGATTATGATGATGATGATGTCCTTCTTTTCAATCTTTTCCTTCCAATCAATAACCGCCTTCCATATTTTTTTCTTTTATAGTCAGCTTTCCTTTTTGCTTTTAACATGATACTGCCTCACTTCTGCCCTCCTCAAATAATACACTTGCACAATTATACTTGCATGCGGTTAGTGTACATACAAATTATTTACAAAATTGAATTTGTTATAGAGTTTTATCTTTTTTTTTAAATGAAGTGCTTTCTTACACTTTTTCATCCTCCTTACAATTCCATTTTTTTTCTTGCATTTGTGTGTGTATGTGTATGTGTTGTGCAGGATTACTCACCAAAGGCAGAATTAAATTTATGTTTTTGGATGGTGAAGCCAAAGCAGGATATGAAGAAAAAGGGAATAAAATTAACTAAAGTTATTTTTTCACTAATATAGTTATTTCACAAGAAGCCATTATATTAGGTAAAATTACAAAAAACCTTTTTTCAGCTCATGCAAAAACTATCAAAACTTGTGAAAGAGAATATATTTTTTTTTTTAACTCAACTCATATCTTAGATATGATTTTAATACTGACCATTTTATATTTGTCTTTAGTAAATGAATAGAATACCATCAAATGTATTATGCTTTAACTAAAGTATGTATACAATATTAAACTTGATGAAAATAATTTCATGTTTTTGATAGAAAAGTTATTTCAATGCCAGAAAAATTAATTTCCTCACTGCCTTGACTGAAGAAATGTCAGTGTTTGTTTTCACCTTAGTCAAACATCTAGTCAAGCCAGAAGTGAGGAATACTTGGTTAGTGTAGGTTTCATATTAGCACTAATGTTATTACTAGTAGTACTATTGACATCATTTAAGTTATTTTTTTAGCTGTCTGCAAGAGTAAAAAAAAGTTACCATTATGTTCAGTTCCTGTGAGAAAATACATTTCAATAGAAAGAATATGGATTTTTTTTTCCTTAAATTATGTTAACAGAAAAATGAATCTATACTCTGACTTGACCATACCAAGTCAACAATGAAAAAAAATGAGAGTAGAAGATGGACAAACTCTTCACAGAAAAAGAAGATAGTGATAATAATAATCCAGGCAACACCAGATAATCTTGCTTGTCAATAATAAATACTTCCCAACAACTGTCTCTACTTATCATTTCACCTCAAGCAAGGTGATAATGCCACTAAGATTCAAGAGGATACAGAGAGTAAAAGAAAATGAGACTTCATTAGTAAGGAGAAAGAATAAAAGAGGATTCAGGAGGATAGAAGATGGCAGTTGATGTTACATTTAAATGTTTTAAGATGGTAGGTAGCAGGGATAGGATATTTATTAAGTCCCTTAGGTATGGCTTGAGAGATGAAAGTATGCACAATGCTCCATGAGAGGATTGAAATGACAAACATGATTTTACTGATGAATGCTGTGAACACCATGGACAGAACCTGTCAGCAATAAGGAAGTTTTAAGAAAAATAGGAACAAGACACTTATACTTACAAGCGGAAAGAAATAACTAAAATTTCAATGGATATATAATGAGGAAAGTGGGCCAAGAGAACTTAACACTTGGAGAACATAATGAAGGCAGCCAAAATACTGAAGCAGCTAAAACATTGAGTAACCTATATGAATCTGTTTGATTGAATAGCAGAACAAAAACAGAGAGAACTGGTAAAGAGCCAAAAGTTACTGAAAGCAACAAAAGGCAGAAAGTTGTGGAGAGCCATGATTACCCACTACCTAATGAGATACAGCTAAAGTTGCCAACCATTCTTTATTGAAAAGGACAGTCCTTTGTTCTCTTTCTGACTTTGCCCTTTGTTGAATTTGAAACGTAAAATAGAATGTCATCTTCAATTATATTCTATCGCCAGAAATTAAATTATAAATTACTATTTATATATTTTTCTTTATGTCCTTCATTATAACTTGACAGAGTTGGCAATCCTAGACAAGAAGATGGAAGAATTACCTTTTTATGAATGCAAAAGAGAAAACATCGCTCCTATTTTTAGAATTTGTCGAGTTTGAAGTCAATGTGAAATTTTTCATAGACTTGTCAGATATGAATCTCAAGTACTTGTAATCTTTTAGTTATGGACAAATTTAAATGTTTTACCAACTATTTAAAATATCCACTAAGTTTAAAATGGCTTCTGAATTTATCAATACCTGATTTTAGACTAATTTCAACTTATCTCGATACTTAACACATCAGATGAGAGAAATTTTTTTTAAACTTTGAGATGAGTTATTGAATGAATTTCTTGACTGATTTTCAAAATCAGACATAGCAGAAAACTTATTGAAGGAAAAAAGAGATTAGTTAAGCCTTTGGAACAAAATCACAAAGGAATCCTACTGGAAACTGACAAAACTAAAGAAGTCAATATAAATGTTATTATCATAAAAAACAAAAAACAAACTGATCACTAAGTCCATTGTGCAAGAAAATGAGGATACATGGAAGCCAGAAAAAGAAAACAATACAGAAAAACGACAGAAACCATTTTTGATATCCCACAATGGAATGCAGTTAACAAAATCTATACCAGACAAAAAGATTTCACCTTAAGAAGACTGGAGAATGAACTGAATAGAAAGAAAATAAATAAAGATGAGAATAGATCCAAAGATTTATTGAATAATAACAGAAGAAAAAAAAACTGTAAAAGCAGAGATTAACTGATTTAATCAAAAATAAAATAAAAAAGATATTAACAAACGGGGAAGCATATATGTTATAGGACCTTACCCATAATAACATAATGGACTATTCCATACGTAATAAATACTGCGCCTCAAGAGGAAGCAGAGAGTTCAGTCTGAAGTTGGGCGACTGGCTGATCGGGTGAACTCTCTGCCTTCGGGCGGGGAGGAACCCGAACGAGGCTACGCCAAAGGGCGGAGTTTCTTTTGGGGAGGTAAACCGACCCTGAACCCGTTTATAAGGGTTCAAAGGGCATATTTTTGGCCGAGCCCTCATGCCACATGATGCCCTCATGGGGGGGGGGGGCTAAATACCGTTCAGTCTGAAGTCTGGAGTGAAGCCCGTCAGGAGTCTGTCAGTCAGTCAGAGCAAGCAAGTCAGTCAGTCGAGTCAGAGGCAGTCTGAAACAGAGTCGCGTTCAGACAATTACTACAAGACATTGGAATAGTGATACTGGTCGAGACTACATTGTTCTCCCTACTAAACCTGATTGTTCGTACTAACATTTTCTACTTCTCTGTATATATTCCTGTTTGTAATATATCTGTGTTATTCCATATCCGTGTTCGAGTTCTTCTTTATTGGTTCTACCTTGGACCATCACTGTGGTACACAGACCTGGACCATAACAATATAGATATTAAGATAAACTTTGTTATGTCCCTGTACACCCTTACAACATATTTGATTGATTGTTTTTATGGTTTATCAACACTTTGTAGATTATTTAAAACCAGGAAATACTTTTAGTTTGTAAGATTATTTTGGAAATAATGATTTACTGATACAAGTCCTACTAATTAACTCTTAGCTGGGGGGGTTAAGTGGCAGATTCCTCCCTTTCCCAAGGGTATTTGTACATAAGTGAATATAATGAACCTGACTAGAATTTGAACTTGGTTCTCCAGTTTCCAGTTCCAAGCCATTAACCATTACACCACCTGAACATCCAAACTTAATTACAGCACTTAGTATTCCCAAGTGGTCACCCATCTAGGTACTGACCAGGCTCAACATTGCTTGCTTAATTTTGGTGATCATATGAGAACTGGTGTTTCAATGTGATATGGCCGTACAACATTCTCATTTAGTAACCCTCTACCTAGAATGGCTCTTGGGAATATTTTAAAAAATCATAAATGAAGAATTAGTATTATAAACTGATCGAGCCAGACTGGTGTCCTTACCAGAATTTTTGGTTATTTAAGAAACAAGGAATTATAAATATTATGTACTGATCTATCTGAACTTGTGTCCTCATTGCATTTATTAAATTATAGAATGAACTGTAAGTTCTATGCTAAAAGTTTCTTCTCACACTTCTTGCTTGTGGAACTCTCTTCCAGCTTTTTACTTCCCAGTCAACTTTGAATTTCAAAAATTTAAATGCAATTTCAATCATTATTTTCTGTCTTTTTAATTCCTGTTCATCCATTGTTCTCTCTCCTTAATATGGTTTTCTTTTTCTCATATTTTTTTCACAGTAACCTCTTGCATCTTAGTGGATTTATTGCCTTGCTTGGGGGAAATAATTTTAAAAAATGGTTTATTAAAAATTTACTAAAGGTTACCGACTATGACAGACACCTTAGGAAGGCAGGAGGGTATAGTGGCTGCAATGTGACAATAATAACCAGGTTGAGGATACTAGTCTGAGTAAGTGTATAATGTGTGTATTTTTTAACCACTTGGCATAATAATCCAGGCAATAACAGATAATCTTGCTTGTCAATAATAAACACTTTCCAACAACTAAGTCTCTACTTATCATATATAAATATTTTCATATACATTTTCTTTTGGAAGCAGTAAACACAAACATGATTCAGAAAAATACTTTAAACAAACTGGGAAGAAGCCCCAAAAATTCCTTGGGGGAGATCTGGTACTATTCTTTAGGTCTCACCATGGGCAAGCATTAAACTGAGACTAAGTCCCTTATGGAAGGTCCATACACCAAATTTCTCTTTGTAATGTACTGAGGGAAGTATATATTGGCTCTATTGTTTGCCCAAGGGGACATGCAGATGTTAGTCATAAAGTATCATGTTATAATAAAAGAAATTGGAAATGATGTTAATGATGATGATAACAATAAGTCATGGATAATGATGATGGAAATAATGGTTATAGCAAAAGGGTAAAAACAAAAGAAGTAATAATGATAATTTATATACTTTTATATGCAATATCACAATCAATTGTGGCTCTCCACAACTTCTTGTCTTATGTTGCTCTCACAAATAAGGATTTTGTTTAAGGATTCTATACAAAAAATAAACAATTTGTTTCAGCATACCATTCAGAAAAAAAAGCATTTTGTTTAAACATGCCATACAGAAATAAGTATTCTGTTTAAGCATACCATACATAAAAAATGTAAGTATACCATACAGAAATAAGCATTTTGTTATATATAAATATAAAGGCATAAGACATAAGGACATAAGCTTCAGAAAATTAAAATGTAAGTACAAACTTGTCCCCTGATGTTTACAGAGAATTCCAACCAATAAACAAAATCTGAATCATGGCAGACAAGTAAGCCTCCCTAAATCTCTATTGTAAGTAGACATTTTATTCAATACTTCAGAGGGTGGCCTAAAATTTTGGGAAGAGAATCAGTTGTAAGATAACTCAGGAATTCATTAAGGATAAGATTTTGTAAGTCTCCATAATGCTTCATGTTAGGCAATGAAAATATTTGAATATGTCCTTTTCTTCATTGCTTACACACTCCATCTATGGTATTCTCAGCATCCTTCTGTAGAATCAAATTTATGTTTATCCTAGTTTTCTCTTCATCTGTGAGGAAATTGTCAAGCATTCCCTGCAATATTGGAGGCTTGATATTATATAAAATTTACGCACTCTTTTCTTTGTTTCTGATTAAATTCTTAGTGTCTGTCTATATTTCTGAGATGAGGTATTATGTACATTATTTACATTATTTGGACTATTGTCTTTATCTTTGTTGCCATATTTATCACGTTTCAGCCGTTGTACACTCCGGCCTTCTTCAGGTGGTTGGAATTTCGAACTGAACCCTTTATTTCGCTCACTGGGGTAGACTGTTCTAGTTCCACGTGCCATGTTTGATGGATATCAGTTATCTCCAGCTAATTTCCCTCTGAAAGTTCTCCACTGCCTTAACCGGGTATTGAACTCACACTCTTTGGGTCCTGTCACTGGATCTAACCAACACCTTTATCCACTGTGCCATGGCATTAGTCTGACTGTAAATAATGTAAAAAAAATTAAATCAATACGTCAAAATTAAAAATAATAGTTGAAAATAAAAGTTAAATAAATATGTGACTTTGCAGGCTGTTTTGAAAATTGAAGAGAGCACATGAATAAGGTTGCATGTTCCTAAGGGTATTAATTTGAAGTGAACAAAGGCACCATTGCCTTTTTCTTCTTCTGTATGCCATGTCCCTTTAGGATGAAGATGATCATGGCCCTCCACAATTTCCTGTCATTTGTTGCTCAATAAATTTTGTATTTTTGTTATCTCTCCTAAATCTTATTCTGCCATCAATTTACTCAAATTTGGTAGGTCAGTTTTGTATTGCTTTTCTCTCTCCCTCTTGTGCTTAATCTGTTTTGTGAGTATAAAATTTTCCAAGCCCTTTTTCTTCATTATGTGCCCTAAAAATTTCAAATATCTCTTTTTTGATGTTAAGTATAAGTGTTCTTTTTCTTTCCATTTTCTCTAAAATTTGCTCTTGCTCACATGTTCGGTTCATGGTATTCTCAGTATCCTTCTGTAGAACCTCATATCTGTTGCTTCAAGTCACTTCTTCATCTGTGAGGAAATTATCCACCATTCAGTGCCATGTAGGGGGATTGATATAAGATAACAATTTAGTACTCTTTTCTTTGTTTCCAATGAAATTTTTCTGTTTCTTAATACTTTGCTTATCTTTTGAAAGGCAACTTTTGCCATGCCAATGTGTCTTCTGATTTCAGTGTTGTCCTTTCTGTTAAAACACTAACCAGATATTTAAATTGTTGTACTTGTTTGATTTTAGTATCTCTAATTTGTAATTTGAATCTTAGTCTCTTCCTTTAAGTTATCTATTTTTTCATTAACACTTTAGCCTCCACTGTTCCACTAGTGCTAGGTATTTTAAGAAATATCTTTTTAATATCACATGAGCATTAGTTATCTTTTAACACAATGCATGCACACATACACACATATGTGTGTGTGTGAATGTTTGTGTTCAAGCAAAAATAACATTTGTGCAATTGTAAATAATGTAAAAAAAAATGAAAATAAACTGGAGTCAAAATTAATAATGGTTGACAATGCTTAAGTTCATAAAAGTTAAATAAATATAAAACTTTATACACTGTTTTGAAAATTGCAGAGCATAGGGGTAAGGCTGCAAAGGAAGTAATTTTAAGGGGACAGAAGACACCACTGCCTTAGGTAAGCTATTTTTTCATTAATATTTTAGTGCCCATTGTTCAGCATATCTAGTGTTAGATATTTTAAGACATATTTTTTTAATGATAGATGAGTATTGCATTTTAAAATGATTTCTAAGCACATATATTGTATTTTGGTCTTTACTGCATATATTATCAATGAAATAATCAGAATTAATGCTCATCTGCTATTAAAAAATATCTTACAATATGTTCCATTCAAGGAACAATGGTCATTAAAAGATTAATATTAAATGACTGGTCCCTGGCTTGATATATGACGAATATTTACATTAGCATCCCAGTTTGTATATGCACACAGATATCCAGAATATGATCCATCCATCTATGATATGGCTTATAGCCATATCATAGATGGATGGTTGCTTAGGAATACCATGAGCCATAAGCTTGAATGTGTGGGTGGTATGATGGGTAACAGCTCAGAATGAGAAATCGGAGAGCCAATTTCAAATTTCAGTCTGGTTCATTATATTCACTTATGGGTAAATACCCTTGGGAAGAGTATGGTCCCACATCTCCCCAGATATAGGTTAAATAGTAGAACTTGTATCTGAAAATCATTATTATCTATAAAAAATGTAATCTTACAATCCAATAATGTTTCATCTTTAAATAACCAACAAAAGATTGATGAATCATAAAAAAACAAATCAATCAGTCAATCAAAAGAACTTAGTTATAAACAGACTAATGTTATTATTCATCTGCTTGTCTATACAGTCCAATTTTTCAATTGTTCTCACTTACTTTTCTACCCTATAATACTGACCATTTGAAATAAATACTTGTTCTAATAAAAAGAATATAAGATTGTCTTCTATTTTCCACGGTGTTCTTGACATTTGTCCAAAAGCAAATATCAACAGAACCGCTGTATTTATTCTCATTTCCCCACAAGATTCTGATATGTTATCTTTCAATTAACCAATGAAAACAATCTGCTTTTTACTGACAATAACTCAAATGCAAGAGCAACTTTTTACATTTTCTTTCTTTCTCTCCCTTTTTTGTTTTAATTATTATTGGACTGCATTTATTTTTATAGTTGTTTTACTTCAATTTTTACTTCTCTTTTTTTATACATTTTGCAGCTTTTAATTCTTTTTTTATTATTACAAAAAATGTGTTTAATTTCACAGTATTTGCATTTCATTTTGAAAAGTTTTTACTTCTGTTTTTATTTGTTGCTATTTTTGGATTTGCTTTATTCGTATCTTATTTTTGCTTTAAATTTTTGACATTTTTATTTTGTATTGTTCACAATTTCTGCACATCTTCTTGTGATTTTTATTTTTTTTACCTTTTCAGATTTTGTGACTTCAAGTGTGTGTCAATTTAAAATAAAAATTTTCTTTTTTCTGCTCCTTTATTCATTTCATAACTTTTAATTTTATTTTTTTTTTTTAAAAAAATCAGTTGATTTTTTTTTCTGCTTATTTTACCAGACTGTTTTATAATTTATAAAAAATGAAACATTTTCTGTCAATGTTTTTTTCTTTTACTTTTTTTGATTAATTTATTTTTAATTTAGGTCCTAATAAGTACATGTGGAGCATCTTGATTGGCTGTGCAGCACGGTCTAATTATTTAAACTGTCATATTGAGCATGTCTGG